GCACTCCTAGCAGTTGTTGGTTGGTGTGGGCGGTGGTAAGTGATGAGGCAAAACCAGCCTTCTGCTTGGGTACTGGATGAGGAGGATCACTGAGAGGCATCCAGGGATAAAACCCTCTGTCCAGGGTTCAGCCATCCCAGCATCATGTGGTCCCTTCAATAGGTCCCCCCAAGTAGCACATGCCACCTGGCAGGCTCTCTGGCTCTGTAAAATGGCTCCCTTGTTCCAGCTTAGGATGAAGGTCTGTTGTAGACCTAATGGAGGCTGTCTGAGGACAATCAGTGCCCTTGCCTGAGAGCGCACTGTTTTTGTGAAACTGACCTCCACACCTGCAGAAAGGGTGACAGGCGCTGTGGTTGGCAGGTGTGTGCAGGGAGGGCCACTGGGGTCCTGTGCAGGGCTTGGGAAGACGGTGAGGGTGTGGCCTCGCCACTTCCTGGCTGTGACTCTGAGTCTCTAAACTGCATGTCCTCGTGTTCTAGCATGAATGTGATCCTCATCTAGCTTCCCCCAGAGGCTGTGGTGACCTAGGTTGGCATGAGCCGAGGCAGTGAAAATGCCAACCCCATGTGCAGTGCTGAGGGGTCCAGGGGGCCCAGACTGGTTCCCCTGCTTGGACAGCCGTGTCCTTCAATGTCTGTACATTTCTCTCTGAAGTTGCTATTTTTGAAGCAAGCTGCATTACAATTCACCCAGGCCTTATTACCAGCAGTTAAAGCAAAAGACAATGCCCCAAACACCCACAGCCATGTACAAGGAGGGCGACAAAAACCCAAAATGTGTGATGCCTGTTGCCGAGTCTCTACAACAATGCACGTGTTACAGAGGCAGGAAGGACTTCCCTGCCTTTCTGTTTTAGTGACTGGGAATGAAGGCTCAGAGAAATGACATCACTTGTTTGGCTACACCCTTTCGTGAGCAAAGCACACGTGTTAAGTGATGCTCCTGTGTGTGGGACCTCATGTCAGAATGGATCTGGGGTAAGATTATGCATTTGCAAATGCTAAGACAGCCTCTTGGTAGCTGCAGGAATAAAGGCTTAGTGTGTGCTGTAAAGATCTATGAAGATAGAGAGGCAGGAAGCAAGGGAAGACATGGGGCCCTGGGTTCTGGGTTGCTCCATATGATTTAGTGAGACAAACGTAGCTGCCATTTCTAGGTCTGTAGGCCAGGATTGATGCTGTTAAGTCATCTGGACCCAGGGTTGGGATCTTTAGCAGCAGCAGTGTGAGGTTAGGGGATCCTGTTCTGTCCATTAGCAAAGCAGCCACCTCCTACTATAGGATATCGTTTGGAACAACTGTGTGCAGGTGGCGTGAGTGTGAGGAGGAGGAGGAAAGTTTGGGATGAGCCCAGGCCAGCCCTGAGTCAGAAGCTACCTGCTGTCTGTCTGAGGCTCTTCTGCAGACAGAAGTGTGCTGCGTCGATAACACACTTACTCAATTCTTGAATAGAAAGATGTCCCAAGTGGCTCGTCCAAGACTCCCTGACATTGTTCAGTTCTTAACTGGGAGCAGCCCCGTGCTCGGGGCTATTTCTAGGCAAGAGAGAGCTGTGAGGTCATCATGTGGCAATGGACATTTTATTTTAAAACAGAAGGGGGTGGCTGGAAAGAGAGTTGTCTAGGGAGGGACTTCAAGCGCTGGGAGATTTTCTTTTTTCTCCTTCAGGTACTGGGGAGGCTGCTGCCTACAGTGAATCTTTGATTGAGTACTATGGTGGGACATTTAGGGGCTCAGATAAAGAAAGCTCTGATCCTGGGGTGACAAATGGCCCTGAAATCTGAATTGATGAGTAAGCAGCCCTCTTTCTCCTCACAGTTAACTATAGAGGTGACATCCACCCATACACACCTTCAATAAATGTCCCAGTTTGGGGGCATTTACTTCCTTATTTTTTTAAATGTAATCAGTTATTTTGGCTACCTAATCAACTTTGGATTTCTGTATTTGTTGGATAGTCACACTGCTTGATTGCTGGCTGTAGAACAATCTAGAAAAACGTGTGGCCACCAGATAAAGAGGCAGGAAGTGCTTCAGAGCTACTTGAGGAAATGGAGATGCTGAGAAGAAATGGGGCCCAGCTTAAGAACACCCCAGCCCTCAGCAGCCATGTGCCATGAATCCATTACTTAGAGTGACTGGGGCACAGAAACAACTGTTCTTTTGACATGGGACCTCCTAGGACATGGTACTTCACTAGTGTTAGTAGCTCCGAAGTGTCTGAAAGGAACTTGTATTTACCTTTTTATCACAGACAGACAGACAGACAGACAGACACACACACACACACACACACACACACACACACACACACACGATGTGAGAAGGAGTCTAAAACCTGAATTCTGGCCAGCTCCAAGTGAACTATCTGAGGCAAGCCATCCTGTCCCCCAAGAACCTCAGCTAATACACTTGAACACGGGGTGGGGTGGGTTAGGGCGTTGGGAGACATTGCTCTTCTGTTAGCGGAAGGCCCCAATAGTGAGCATGGTGGCTTCCCAGGCCCTGTGAAATCAGGCTAAGATAGAAGATTCCCTTTAGCAGCCTGTGCCGGAGTACAGACCCATCCAGACGGGCAGGGACACCTGGAGAGAGCAATGGCCTCTGATCTCCAGGATTGGTGTTTTTGTTTTACTATTTGTTTTGCTACAGGCTGGTGCTGGGGATTGTATGTAGGGCCTCATGTATGCTAGGCAAGCACTCTACCACCAAGCCATACCTTCCATGCTCCAGTGGCAGCTTAAAAAAGTGGAGTGAGGCCTGGAGAGATGGCTTTCTGTAAAGGTGTGCTGTACAGATATAAAGAACCAAGTTCAATGCCTAGAATATACCTCAGAAACAAGGGGTGGAGTCATGCACTTGCCTTCTCAGTGCCGGGGGAGGTAGGCAGAGGAGGATCTCTGGGCATACCGGCCAGACGGTCTAGCCTAATCTGTGAGCCCTAAGTCCCAGTGAGAGACCCTGTCTCAAAAAAGATAAGATGGCGCTACATAAGGAATGACATCGTCTAGCCCCCACACGCATGTATACACACATGCATACATATGAGCACACAGGAATACACATATACAGCAGGATGAGGGTAAACCCAGGATCCTTTTATTTCCCTCCTTCCCTCTGCTTTACTTCCTACCACACCAAACCCACAGGCACACTATCAGGGGGGAGTAGGATAATCCCTGGCTTGCAAAAGCATGTCTCGGATTCCAGTGCCGCTTGCCCTGGTCCTGCTGGTGCCCTGCTCCCAGGGACTCTCAATTCTGCCCTGCGATGGCATGGTGCTTTTCTGTGGGCCATGGCTCACTGGTGAGCCTGACTTAGAGAGGTGCACACTGGAAACTGAGGCCTAGGAGAGCCTCAGAACATACATACACAGTGTGGAGGCAGCCTCCTACGAAATGTAATTAGCGGGTGGGAAGCGAAGATGATGTCTACCCAGGATTATAGAAGTCTCAGGATAGCTGGGCTAAGCAGAGATGGGGGCTTGTCAGGTCCATTCCCACGGCCTTGTCTATTGTGGGGTATGGTAACTGTTCTTGTTTGGCTTTGCTGGGGAGTTTGAAACTCCTGACTTAGTGTCAGCATTAGTATCTTTTTTTTTTTTTTTGATACAGGCAAGTTTAAACAGAGGAGAGGGGCTTTTCAAGACTGAGGTTGCCATACTTGGTGCCAGGACTGGAATGATAGGCCTATTCTTACTGAGCCGCTGCATCCGATGGAGGCAGACAGGCCTGTCCACGCCTGCCTTACTCACCTGAAGCATTAGGAAGGTTCTGGCAGGCAGAATGTGGCCTCGCACTGAGGTCAACGGTTCAGCCTCCATCTTGCGACTGCCCAGTGACTGACGAGTGTGTGGTGTTTTGGCTCAGGGCCACTAGTGTCCACTACCGTTTGTTACTGATGTCACCCGAGCCAGTTGTAACAAATCAACACGTGTGGCTGTTCGTCCTGACTGACTGCTGTCATACTTGGCGACCTGCATTTGTTCCTTTGTCTTCTAGCAGAAGACATCAAACTACTCTTTTAGCTAGAGCCCCATCCCCCACCTTCTGCCCTTCTCGGGGACCGTGGAGCTGATTTCCACACTGTGGGTGTGTGTGAGGCCATAGGTAAGGGTGGCTTTCATGGAATAGCAGACTTCTGAACTGTGTTAGTCTTGCTTCACATATCTGGGTTTCCATTGGACAGTATTCGCTGCACAGATACTGGCCCATGACACAGAACTCTCCTGTGGCTAAAATCTCAAATGTAGGCACTGTCTGGATGTCTGTCTCTAGCAGCACTGGGAATTGAATGTAAGTCCTCATACCTGCTAGGCAGCCAATCTACCACAGAGTTTCATAGCAATTTCTGTTTAAAAAAAAAATTAAATTTGCAAAGCAGTGGAGTCAGTAGTCACCAACGGGAGGATGGGGTGGAGTAATTTTTATCCCTGAGGAGACTTTTCTGTCTGCACTACTGGAGGGTGGGGGTTTTCTCTCCAGCAATGGATTATGAGGGTGGGGTCTACATGTCAACAGTGACTGAGTTAAAAATCCTGGTCTAGATGGTGTGGGGCTGAGGTTTATTACCCTGGCTGTCTTTTACATAATGTAGCCATTGTCACTCTCTCCCCTCTGGTCCCCCAAATGATGAAAATAAGAACACTTTCAGGGGGAGCAAAGTCAGGCCTACTGAATGCAAGTTACTCCCTAGTGACCCGGGGCCTGCTCATAGATCCTGCTGTCCCCTGCCGTCTGGGTGGACGCAGTGAGGCCTGTCCACTCTTTGGCTGCAAAGGCGAGACTCCCAGGAGTCATGGGGCCTACTCATAGGTCCCATTGTTCCCTGCCATCTGGGTGGTCGCAATGATTAGGTGCACAAGTGACTCCCAGAGTTTCCTGGGCCTGCTCATAGATCTTGTCCTCTGCCATGTGGGCAGACACAGTGAGGTCTGCCCATCCTGTGGCCACCACGACAGCTGCTTACGCTCTGCCTTTCCCTTTTGTGTTTCCCCAGGTAAAGATGAGCCTTCCAGCTACATTTGTACAACATGCAAGCAGCCCTTCAACAGCGCCTGGTTCCTGCTGCAGCACGCGCAGAACACGCATGGCTTCCGCATCTACCTGGAGCCCGGGCCTGCCAGCAGCTCGCTCACGCCCAGGCTCACCATCCCGCCTCCACTCGGGCCCGAGGCCGTGGCGCAGTCCCCACTCATGAATTTCCTGGGGGACAGCAACCCCTTCAACCTGCTGCGCATGACAGGCCCCATTCTGCGGGACCACCCTGGCTTCGGCGAGGGTCGCCTGCCAGGTACGCCGCCGCTTTTCAGCCCACCGCCACGCCATCACCTGGACCCACACCGCCTCAGTGCAGAGGAGATGGGGCTCGTGGCCCAGCACCCTAGTGCCTTCGACCGAGTCATGCGCCTGAACCCCATGGCCATAGACTCTCCAGCCATGGACTTCTCTCGGCGGCTGCGAGAACTGGCTGGCAACAGCTCCACGCCGCCACCCGTGTCCCCAGGCCGTGGCAACCCTATGCACCGGCTGCTGAACCCTTTCCAGCCCAGTCCCAAGTCCCCGTTTCTCAGCACGCCACCGCTGCCACCCATGCCCGCGGGCACGCCGCCACCACAGCCGCCCGCCAAGAGCAAGTCCTGTGAGTTCTGCGGCAAGACCTTCAAATTCCAGAGCAATCTCATCGTGCACCGGCGCAGCCACACGGGCGAGAAGCCCTACAAGTGCCAGCTGTGCGACCACGCGTGCTCGCAGGCGAGCAAGCTCAAGCGCCACATGAAGACGCACATGCACAAGGCGGGCTCGCTGGCTGGCCGCTCGGACGACGGGCTGTCGGCTGCCAGCTCCCCAGAGCCGGGTACCAGCGAGCTGCCCGGTGACCTCAAGGCAGCGGACGGTGACTTCCGTCACCACGAGAGTGACCCATCGCTGGGCCCCGAACCCGAGGACGATGAGGATGAGGAGGAGGAAGAAGAGGAGCTGCTGCTGGAGAACGAGAGCCGGCCTGAGTCGAGCTTCAGCATGGACTCGGAGCTGGGCCGCGGCCGTGAAAACGGGGGCGGTGTGCCGGGCGTGGCGGGTGCGGGTGCCGCAGCTGCGGCGCTGGTGGATGAGAAAGCGCTGGCACTGGGCAAGGTGATGGAGGACGCGGGGCTGGGCGCGCTGCCACAGTATGGGGAGAAGCGTGGCGCCTTCCTGAAGCGTGCAGGTGATGCGGGTGACACGGGTGCTGGTGGCTGCGGGGACGCAGGTGCACCTGGAGCGGTGAACGGGCGTGGTGGGGCCTTCGCACCTGGCGCAGAGCCCTTCCCAGCACTCTTCCCGCGCAAGCCAGCGCCACTGCCCAGCCCCGGGCTTGGTGGCCCCGGGCTGCACGCGGCCAAACGCATCAAGGTGGAGAAGGACCTGGAGCTGCCACCTGCCGCGCTCATCCCATCGGAGAACGTGTACTCGCAGTGGCTTGTGGGCTACGCCGCTTCACGCCACTTCATGAAGGACCCATTCCTGGGCTTCACAGATGCGCGCCAGTCGCCTTTCGCCACGTCGTCCGAGCACTCGTCTGAGAATGGCAGCCTGCGCTTCTCCACGCCTCCGGGGGACCTGCTGGATGGTGGGCTGTCGGGGCGCAGCGGTACGGCGAGCGGGGGCAGCACGCCTCACCTGGGTGGCCCGGGGCCTGGGCGGCCCAGCTCCAAGGAGGGCCGCCGCAGCGACACGTGCGAGTATTGCGGCAAGGTCTTCAAGAACTGTAGCAACCTGACAGTGCACCGGAGGAGCCACACCGGAGAGCGGCCTTACAAGTGCGAGCTGTGCAACTACGCGTGCGCGCAGAGCAGCAAGCTCACGCGCCACATGAAGACGCACGGGCAGATCGGCAAGGAGGTGTACCGCTGCGACATCTGCCAGATGCCCTTCAGCGTCTACAGCACCCTGGAGAAACACATGAAAAAGTGGCACGGTGAACACTTGCTGACTAATGATGTCAAAATCGAGCAGGCCGAGAGGAGCTAAGCGCGTGTGCTGAGGGGCACAGCGTGCGTCTGTACAGCATGACCATCGCCAACCATCGCCAACGGGACCCGGTGACCGGACTGGCCTCTGTGTCCCCGGGGCCCAGGGAGGCGGCAGTCCAACCTAACCTGTGTCTGCAAAGTCCTATGGAAACCTGAGGGTTGATTAAGGCAGTAAAAATTAAAAAAAAAAATTGTGGAGCCTTTTAACTGTGCAATAATTTCTGTATTTATTGGGTTTTGTAATTTTTTGGCATGTATGTGCAGGTACTTATTATTATTATTATTTCTGTTTAAATTCCTTTAAAAGATTTTGTTGGGTATCCATCCCTTCATTTTTTAATAACCCAGTAGTAGTTTGAGCAATGACTCGCAAGTGATGTAGAGGGAAGCTATCTTTTAAATTATAATTTTTGTGTGTGTGTGTGGGGGGGTGCTGCTTTTTTGAAATTTAAGCTAAGCATGTGTAATTTCTTGTCAAGAAGCCAATACTTAAATGACTTTTAAAGTTGTTTGCCTTTTCATCATTTACTTTTGTCCTGAAATAAAAAAAAAAAAGTGGCATGTGGGTTTTTTTGGTGGGGAGGGGGTGGCTTTCAAAAACATTTTTTTTTTTTCCTCGGGAGGTGGATGTACAGCGGATTACAATCTTTAAAATTGTAGCACTTTGTTTTAGCATCGGATTGGAGACGTAGCACTGATGTCCCCTGAGTCACAGAGACTTTCTCTGTGTGGAATTCACTTTCATGTTATGGAAGGAAAACTTTGAGGGAGGGATGTGTGGCAAGTGAGCTTCTCCCGCACTCGGGACCCAAGAAACTTTTCCAGGGTGACTCTGGGACTAGCCCCAGCCTCCTGCAGTTGTGCATTACCAGGAGATACTGTCCTTTTTCTGGGGAGCCTGGTGGATCCTGGGAAGGAGCCTCTGACCTTTGCTGTAGATTTGGCTGTATAGTAAGGGCTGGGGGTACCTACTCGGTAGACAGGTACCTACTGGTGGCAGGAAGGAAGAAACTAGCAATGTTGTTTCCGGCTTCTCTCGATGTGATGCTCCTTTCTCTTTCGCCCCCCGGCCTACAGATAAATCCCAAGTGTCCATTGCTACAGTGGTTCGTAACTGACCGTGTCCCAAGCAGACAACTGGTTCTGATGGTGGCCTAGGGAACTTATCTCCGGGCTCTCTCATCTAGTTCTGGCAGCACTGCAGGGCAGGGGAATCTTGCCTGGTCTTTCTTGCTGGAGGAGTTGGGAGGAGTACCACCCACGGTGACCCACGCTGCCTCCATTTTTGTCTTTTGTGTTTTTCCTTCCTCCAATTAGTTGGGACATACTATACATTGGACCTGTTTGGATTTGATGTTTGAATTCTGTTGACCCGCACTTTAGAGCTTTTGTTTGCATTTAAATTAAATGGCTTCTAAACAAGAAATTGCAGCATATTCTTGTCTTTGGCCCAGAGGTGGGTTAAACTGTAAGGGACAGCTGAGATTGAGTGTCGGTATTGCTAAGCGTGGCATTCACAATACTGGCACTATAAAGAACAAAATTAAATAATTTATTGGACAGTTTCTCTACTGCCATTCAATTTGATGTGTGTGCCTTGAAAACTGATCTTCCTATTTGAGTCTCTTGAGACAAATGCAAAACTTTTTTTTTTTTGAGATGAAAAGACTTTAAAAAGCAAACAAGAAAAGTACATTCTTTAGAAACAAAGCCACATTTACTTTAAATTAAAAAAAAAAAATCCTGGTTGAAGATAGAGGACGTGAAAATGCCATAAGACCCAATCAAATGAAGAAGTAAACCCAGCACAGCCCTGGACATCCATTAGCAGAATTGTTTTCAGCCCCTTTTATTTTTGGGACAACGCTGCTTAGATGTGGAGTGGAGGTGATTTACTGCTGAATTAAAACTCAAGTGACACAAGCCGATATCGTTGAATGAAAAAACAAACAACAAAAACAATTCAGGAACAATGGCTAATTTTTTTTTCTAAATTTAAATTTAGTGCACTCTGTCTTAAAAATACGTTTACAGTATTGGATACATACAAGGGTAAAATAAATCGTGTGTATGTGTGTTGGAGCGATCTTTTTTTATTTTATTTTCAAAGTTTGCTTAATAGGTTATACAGAAATGCCACAATGGCTGCGTGTATATTGTTTTCTTTTGGTGACGGGGTTTTAGTATACATTATATATATATTGAAATTTCTTGATTACTGTCAGAGTGGACCAGTATTTGTAATAATTGAGAATGCCTGGGCATTTTACAAAACGAGAAAAAAAAGTCCTTTTTCTTTTCCTTGAAACCGTTACAGTAAGTTTTAAATGGTGGGTCTATGAAATCTGTTCTGTCACAGTAACTGTAAAGTCGGAGTTTTAGTAAATTTTTTTCTGCCTTGGGTGTTGAATTTTTATTTTGAAAACAAATGTATAGAAACTTGTATTTGGGGATTAAAAGGGGATTGCTACACCGTGTAGAAAAAGTATGTAGAAAAAAAGTGCTTAATATTGTTACTGCTTTGCAGAAAAAAAAAATCACATTTCTGACCTGTACTTATTTTTCTCTCCCCACGTCCCTCTGGAATGGATATATTGGTTGGTTCATATGATGTAGGCTCTCGCTGTATTTTTACTGGAGCTTGTAATTTTTTAACTGTAAGCTTGTCCTTTTAAAGGGATTTAATGTACCTTTTTGTTAGTGAATTTGGAAATAAAAAGAAAAAAAAAACAAAAACAAACAGGCTGCCATAATATATTTTTTTAATTTGGCAGGATAAAATATTACAAAAAAACAAAACAAAACAAACAAAGACAAAAAAAAAAAAAAACAAAAACAAAACCTCACCACATTTGTATGTTAAACCCTCTTGTACAGGAGAAAAAAGGTTGTTTGACACCTTCAAGAAAAAAAAAAAAGACACAAAAGAAGAGTCAAATACTTTGGTTCACAAGTCATTTTAGTTGTAAATATTCTGTTGGAATTGGCCTACTCAAAGAGCTATCCGCTTGGGGCTTCTATCTGAATGCCCGAACTTTGCATCACGCCTCCTTGGTGCAGCCACAGCAGATTCCACGGGAAGTGCTTTATTTGTGTTGAGTGGAGAAAAGAGAGCCCTCTCTCTGAGAGGCCTTCTATAAGATGGTGGGTGTAGGGGTGAGAGACCAAGGTCGCTCCCTACTCTGCTGTGGCTACCTTGGCTGCCCCTTCCACCCTCTGACCACCCTCAAGAGCAGAGAGAGAATGAATTCACAGCTGCTTTTGTCCTTGAGCAAACCTGGGTGGGTCAAGCCTCTGGAAGGAGCAGCTGGGCCCAGGGGAGCCTCTGCCACTGAGACTGATGCAGGTGGGACTGAGGAGGGCCCCAGGACACATGTTGGTCCTTCTGTTCCGCGGAGAGTGTCTGCTTGCTTTCCTTCTCGGCTTCGCTACTGCTTTTCTCTGCAATTCCATCAGTTTCAGAATGGTGAGGGCCTGGGATGAAGGAATTCTGTGCCTTTCCATTGTTCTCTCCCTCTGTGTTCCCTCTCTGTCCTCTCCAGTCTCCTGCAATCCTCTCTCTGTTCATTTCATCTTTAATTTTCTTCCCCTTCTTTGTCCCCTCTTCCCCAACTCCCCCCCCCTTTTTTTTTTGTAAAGCCAAGTAGCTTTAAGATAATGAAGTGGTTGTTTATTGGATGAGGGGATAATACACTTTTCCCAAATATCTATATCAGGAAGCCATTTTTTTTTTTTAATTTCAGGAAATGTAAGAAACCATTTCAGGTTATGAAAGTATGGCCGTGCATCTTACTGGGCAGGTCCTTACTAAATGCAAAGCCTGTCTCACTGTTTCCCATTTGACTTGCCTTTGCACAGTTAAAGGATGGGGACCAAGTAGGATGCTACACCTAGGTCTCAGTGTTCCACATGCTTGCCCCAAGGCCCAGGGTTGCCCTGCCCTTCTGGTGCCCTGCCCCTCCGCGGCCCTGTTAGCTGCCTGGGAGCCTCTGTGTGGTTCCCCTGTAACCATAGAAGCTAGTCAGCGCTCACCAGCTCACCTGTCACTAGAATGCCAGGACTAAGCCATCCTGAAGCACAAGGTTTATGTGTCTCTGTCAACTGCAGAGAGAAGAGACACTTGCTTCTCTTATCAAAGAGAAAACCAACCAACTAACCTCCCCGAAGCAGGTGATCCAGCCAACGGGCTCTAGAGTGGGTGACCCAAGGGACCTCAGGTCAGGCTTCACACTGCCACAACTTTATCCAAAGTTGCCCCCAATTGGAACCTGCCACTTGCCATTGGAAGGTCCTTATGGGAGGGGGAGGGGAGAGGAGACTGATTAAGCAAAATGTGAACCCCGAGGTGAACAGCCTTCCACCTGGGCCTTTCGTCCAAGGTTTTGTTGAACGCAGGCGAATCCGTGATTTTGGTGCTCTCTGTATCAGCCCTGCATAGCAAAGGCACATTGATTTCAGCTGTTTGCTTTTGTACTGGCAAGGCGAAATATTTTTATTACCTTTTCTATTACTTATCGTATGAGCTTTTGTTGTTTGCCTAGAGGGTTTGTCTCTTACAACAAGTTTGGAGCTATTTATTATTGCTTGGTATTTGTGCTCTGTTTTAAAAACAGGCACTTGTTTTTTTTAATTATGGATAAAATGTTGAGATGACAGGAGGTCATTTCAATATGGCTTAGTAAAATATTTATTGTTTCTTTTCTTCTCTGTACACGATTTTGGGCCTCTTTTTTTCCCCCCTTAATGTCACAATGTTGAGTTCAGCATGTGTCTGCCATTTCATTTGTACGCTTGTTCAAAACCAAGTTTGTTCTGGTTTCAAGTTATGAAAATAAATTGGGACATTTAACTTGATCTCCAAACCTTGTCCTTTTCTGTGTCTTTTAAAGGTGGGGAATGGACAGCTTATTTCTAAAGGGGGAATTGAAGGTCTTCCTCCATTTCCCTTCTGACCCACACCTTCAGCCCGTGCTCAGGAGGAGAGGCAATACTTCGGCA